TACTGCCTCGCCTCTCTACCTTGTCCAGTCAGAGAACAGTTTGCATTAATTGAGAAGGCCTTCTGGGTTCACAGTGCAGCAGGGCAATCTATTGGCACAGGATTCGGAAGCTAGTGGAGATCACTGTAGTAGCAGTGCCAGCTTCCACATGAAACGGACAGGTGTATGGCGCACATATACTTACATTGGTCCAAATTGGACCAGTGTAACTATGTAAAAAGTGTCATACCTAAACTTCGGCCTTAAGCTGAAGAGTCAAGGTGAAAGTAAAAAGGGGGCAAACAAATCTTTTCTAAGCAAGCCTGTGCAGTTGTAACAGTGTAATTATTTTCAGCTAAGTAACAACCTTGCCTGCTGGTAGGTGCTGAGTTATTAGAAGTATTCTAAACCTAGAACATAAAACTTGTATGCGTGCCAACAACAGCATATGTCGCACTTCTTTTACAGTTGTGCTCAAAAGTTTGCATACCCTTAGGCCCCTTTCACATGAACGGAATGGTAGGGTCTGCCTGTCCGTTTTTCAGGCGTATAAGATTGGACACTCTGTTGCTCTCTATGGAGCATTTGGTATAAACACACATGTCCATTTACACCTGCCTACATCCGATACGATCCTGCCCACTAAAAACAGAAGGGTGGGGATCCGTTCCCGATCCGTCTGGTTCATCAGATCGAATGACAGTCGGATGGAAACAGAAGGGTGGTCAGTTTCCATCCAAAAGCCCTTAGAGGACAGTGGGCTGTGTCCGTGTCCGCTCTGCATTTACCGGAGCGGATATGGACCTGTCATCCGCTTGCTCAATGGGCAGATCCCCCGCTAAGCAAGCGGATCCACTGATGGGTTCGCCCCATGTGAAAGGGGCATTAGAGAATTAGCGTGAGCAGGCAAAACATAAAACAAAACATGGCTACAAGTACACAAATGAAATAAACCTTGTTCAAAAGTCTGCATATCCTTAGTTCTTAATACTGAGTATTGCCCCCTTTAGCATTAATGACCGTATGAAGTCTTATAATCTTGTAATAATTGTCTATGAACCCCCCCCCCACAATATTTGCAGGTGTTATAGATGCCAATTTGTCTTGGCAAAATGCCTCCAGGTCATGCAAAGTCTTTGGTCGTCTTGCATGAACTGCACGTTTGGGATCTTCCAAGAGTGGCCTGATGATACTATGGCCAGGAGACTGTGATAGCCACCCCAGAACCTTCACTTTTTTCTGCTGGAACCACTGGAGGGTTAACTTGGCCTTGTACTTAGGGTCATTGTCATGCTGGAATGTACAAGAACATCCCATGCGAAGCTTACATGCGTAAGAAGGCAAATTGTCTGCCAGTATTTTCTAACAGGCTGCATTCATCTTGCCATCAATTTTCACGAGATTCTCCTTGCCTTTAGAGCTCACGCACCCAAAAAAAAAAACTGTGAGCCACTACCATGCTTTACATTGGGATGGTATTCTTGTCGCAAAAGGCCTTGTTGATGCCTCTCCAAAAATAGGGCTTATGACCATAAAGCTCTATTTTGGTCTTGTCACTCCAGTGTGCCAGAAGCTGCGGGGTGTGTCAAGGTATTTGTCGGGCATATTGTAATTGGGCTTTTTTGTGGCATCGGCCCAGTAAAGGCTTTTTTCTGGCAACTTGACCATGAAGCTAATTTTTGTTCCAGTATTGTCTTATTGTGCTCCTTGAAAAAACCACATCATCTTTTTCCAGAGCAGCCTGTATGGGAAATGTAACATTTATTTGCCATTTTAACCTGTGTGTGCCGCCATTTGGGTGATTTCTGTTATCATTATGATTTAAAAAGGAGCCAAACTACATGATAACAAATGGCATCATATGATCACGATCCTTAAATAAGACAGTTTTTCAGCTTGATCGGTCATATTTTCAATATCCATGTCAAAATTTCATGATTTCTGCCAGGGTATGCAAACTTTTGTGTACAACTGTGTGATAGGTCATGGGCTCGCAGTCACTACCAAGTCTGCACCAACACAAATAAAAAAAAAAAAATGATAGAAAACATTTTGTTTGACAGTCTTTAAACTGGCAAACAGATTAACTTATTGATGCAGGTAAGTACAGTACCAAGCCCAGAATTCTGGATGTATGAGCCGACTCACTCTGATACATGAAGTGCTAAAAACATGCAAAGCTGGTTGATAACCTAAGAAAATTGGTTTATTGTATAAAAAGTGATATACTCACAAAAGGATAAAAATCAAAGGCACAACATACAAAATACAGCATGGTTCAATCTCCCTTGATGGTGTCTAAAAGGGGATTATAGACCTCCAAATGGCTGACACGTTTCAAGGCTATGCCTCTTCCTCAGAGTCGAAGCGTTTGCTTGTTTTTCTTCTGTAAAAGCTGGTTGATAGCCTACCGATGCCATTGTGTTGTTGACTAGCTCTCAAGATTTTCAGTCTGAACATCATGATGTGCCCTTTACCATCAATTTTTTGTCTTTTGGCATCATTTTCTGCATATCTACCCAAGATTTATGGGCAGGGATTGGGACAAAAGCTGGGTACACACATTTTTTTTTTTTTGTAGCTCAACTAGCAGGTTGAACAAAACAAAACTCAGATGTCTGCATCCACACAAGCGATGGGGATAAAGGGATCTCCTCAGCTGCCCCACCCCCTGTCAGAGTACACTGATCAGCATTGTGCAATTGGCTGAATGCTGGTTTTCCAGAAGGATCATTTGACAGAAGAGGGCTGCACACAGATAAAAAATTTGGCGTTTTTTTCCTGAACTGGCCAAATTTCAAAACGTTTGTATCCTCAACGTTCTTTGACGCCAGTGTACGGTATTATCACTGAACACTATAGAAGTGTCACTAGCAATGTCAGTGTCAGTTAATGACCCTCCTAGCCAGTATCTATTAGTGTCAAATAGCCCACCACCCTATCACAGTCCCACTATAAGTTGCTGATCACCTCCATTACAGTATAGCATCTATAGATGCATACATTCTAGTATATATGTACCATAGTTTGTAGAGGCTATAACTTAGTCACACAAACCAGTTAATATACACTTTTTGAGAATTTTTTTCCTAATTCATGGCAACAGAATTGAACAGCACGGGGGGGGGGGGGACGCATTAATGTGAACCTGTTGTGGCTATTCATAGGCAAAGCACAGACTCTCTTTTCACTACCGTGATGCAGTAAAATGCATTACTCCAATGCGCATTAACGCATCGTGCAAGTATTGGCGCATCAATGCAGAAGGACTACTTGTAAAGTTGGAACTGTAGAAGGGAGCAAAAGCTGCATAAACCGATGCCTCCCCTGTAGTGTTGGCTCCTGTCCCATACGGTGTGATGCCAACTGCATTCTACCTCTTATCTCTGCTAGCGGTCTCCAGAATGTTGCCAGCAGCAGGAAAGAAGAGATCTTCAGGTCAGTGTAAAGCAATACAATAGACGTAATAGTATAGGGCTGCTTTCACGCTTTCCTGTGGGTTTGCTGCAATTAGCCATGGACTTCTATTATATCCTGCGGGTTTGGTGTGGGTTTGGTGCACTTTTTGATAGTACACCAGAACCCCTGAGTGCAAGCGATCCAAGTGTGTTTAACAGGTGATGGCGGTGTGCCTGCCTCCTCACTACCTGATTTAAACCAATGATTGCTGTGAAATGCGTGTCATTGCAAAATAGTAGTACAGCAGTTAGAGGTTTAAATCAGGTGTGAGGATGCTACACTGCCCGGTGATCATTTACTACTCTCATTTTGTTCAGGTAGATCGCCACCCCTCCAAGGTTGCCTACCCCTGGACTAGAGCAACTTAAAAACCTCTCCTATTCTTACTTTGCAGTGAAAAAATACCATGGGCTTCCCCCAGCTTATTTGAAAACCCTTATACCACAAATATATTTCCAAAAAGGGTGCTTTAGTGTCATACACTTAGCAGATATCAAGGTCAGATATAATGTCATATTTTGAAAGTGATTTTTCATGGAATTCAGAAATGAATTGAAGTTTAAATATGTCTGGCTGTGTGGAACATAACAAAGAGAAGTCAGACTTTGTTTTGTGTATAAGAAATTATATGACCCTTCTGCACAATAAAAAGGATATTAAATATCTCATCTGAGTTCAATGACATATATCAAAAGCAGGCCTAGGGCTTTTGTATTTATTTGAATTTTATGTATGACCTCTAATAGCTTTACTTCACAGAAATAGTACTCCTACTGTGATAGCGGTCTTTTATTTGAACATTAGCAGCTCAGCTCCCATCCTACATTCTTAGTTACAAGATTAGATTTTGTAGTGCTTAACTGCTACCATCATCTGTTCACCACAGAATGATACATCTGCTGTGAATGTTTGCGTATAGCAAGGATTATCTGCAGACTCTATTATGTAGCAGAGGGCTTTGCGCATATGTCTGGACTGTGTCATGGTTCTCTTTCCCATTATACTCAGAAATGTACCAATTAGGTTTGAAGCTCTAAGAAAGTTGTCCCTTTGTTCTTCATCTGATTTCATGTTTATTAATTAGTCATGTACATATAATGGAAAAATGTCAAGGGTATTGGTGATGGTGTGCAGGAGAACAATCTCAGAAGCAGTAAAATACCAACAGCAGGGGAAAAGGGCATTTCTTTCCCTAGATTTAATTATGTGATTCATAGTGTGTGTGTATATGTATTTGTATATATGTGTGTATATATATATATATATATATATATTTATTTACACACACAAACACGTGCGCGCACAGTATGTGTACACAAACACACATACCATATAGTATATTGTTTATAGCTCAGTAATTGGACATCCTGTTTTTCTAGCGTTCTAGAGCTGTTTCTAGCATTATTTCCTGTTAGTGTACAATGTACAGGCTTAGCTTTGTTCATCACCCTTGATCTGGTTAATGACATAATTCTTTGCAGAGAATTTTAAAATGAACCTGTAAGGTTGTTGAACTGAAAGTCTGAAAAAGTTTGAATTCCCATTCTTCCCACTTGTTCTAGGCCCTGGACTCACTAGGTAATGAAGCTGTCTTAAGGATGAATGCCCTAAAGCCTGCACCTAAGAAGAAAAAAGTCAGCAATGGCTACTGCTATAATTCTATGCTAACAGGTCCCCTTAGGTTGTGTCTGTGCCAAAAATGACATCATTTTTTCATGACTTGCCAAACCGATGATGTGTTTAATTTTTTCTGTGATATACTGCAGTATATACCAGATTCGTGAACAGATATGTGTTTGGTGTGTGTGTGTGAGATGTTGTAAATAAACTATTGTTAGACATGACTAATTGGTCAAAGTCTGCATCAGTACCATGTTTAATACTACTCTGTATTCATCATATGTGTTAATATTTGCAGCACTTTTTTTTTTTTTTCTAGGATCTCAGGCAACATCACGTGGCTTCATAACTGTGTGTAACTGGTGCATGACAATGGTTAGGTAGATTAAGAGACCTGCACCCATCATTCCTATTTCTTCTCTTATGAAACTGGCGCCATTTCCTGCTTCCTGCACTAACCCCTCCCCACTCCATAGGAGTTTGTTTTGTTTTTTTTAGAATTAATGTTGAAGGATGCTTATGCTGAAATAAATAAAAATGATGCCATTGTTAAACTCTTTCTGAAAGTACTCTTTACTTGGCTACTATGCTTCAAGCTAGCATTTTCAGAGAGAAAGATAAGAAATAGCACATTAAACTGTTTCTTAAAGTGTTACTAGAGTCAGATTTTTTTTTTTTTAATGAAAATATCAAGCATGTTATACTCACCTGCTCTGTGCAGCGGTATTGCACAGAGTGGCCCCCTTCGTTCTCTTCTCGGGTCCCCACCAGCAATCTTGGCTCCTCCTCTTTGGGTGTCTCCATAACAAGCCATTTGCCATGGCGGCACGCGGTGTCCGCTTGCTCCGGAGCTGTGTGTCTTCTGAGCTGCGCTCCATAGACACACACTGCAGAACTTAGCCCTGCGTCCCAGTTCCTTTTCACTGCATTTTATTGACATCAGCAGGAGCCTGCTGCTCAAGTCCCTGTGTGAAGAAGAGAGGAGAGAAGAGATGCAGCCATACACAGCACTGATCTTTTATCCACTCTCTTCCCCTTCACATAGGGAAGGGGGAGGCCAGAGAAACTAAAAAATCTTTTTTATCTTATTGCAAGGAATGTATGAAGAAGGTAAAAACATTTTTAGGTTTAGTATGACTTTAAACTTCTACACTAAAATACATATAAAGAGCAAGGCCCTCTGTTTCCTCTTGTACCAAATTGTATTGTAACTGTAATGTCTACCTTCATTTTGTAAAACGCTGTGCAATCTGTTGGCGCTATATAAATCCTGTATAATAATATAAAGCACCTGGCACAACAGTATTTCTATGCGAATATAAACATTCATAATGTTGTCTGGGGGCTTTTTAGCTCAGTGCATTGTTTAGTAAAGTCCCTGTTAGGCAGAACTGTTTTCAAGGGCCTGGTAGCCCAATTTTATTAAAAATGAAAGAAACAAAGTTTATTAACTTGCCCACGTAGGGGTTCAGCTTCACACAACAGGAAATATTACTTCTTCAGTCACCAGCGCACCTCTGCTTGCTACAGTCTCCCTGACCTTGGGCTTCTCAAACTCGCTCATTCTGTGCTTTCAGTACCTCAATGCACGGGCCCCACTCCTGGCCTCTAGATGGGGTTCTCCCAGCAACCCGCTGTGGACTTGCTAGTCACCTCACCTTTCTTGGCCTGTCCAGACCCACTTATCTGTTCCGACTTTCCTAGTCCTTTGGACAAGTACCCCCAAGGTCTTGTCTCCTGAGAATGTCAACCCTCCTGGCTGGAGCACACAGTCTGGTTCTCTCTCCAAATGGCAGCAGCTGCTCTGAGCTCTCACCAGACTATCATTATAAGAGCTGTGCGCACCTGTACACACACCCTGCTGGTTTTCCACAAAACCCAGACTCTGGGTTGAAGATTTCTTTCCTCCCAAGACATTTTGAAGTCTCCAATCTATGGATCCCAATCCAGGAATGCCAAAATCTGGAGAAAGCTGTAAAAACCGTTTTCGGCACTCATAGCCTTTATTCTGGAGTGCCACACATTACACATGTGCAAATCCAGTGTCCTTTTTCCAACCATTTTCTAATCCCACACCATGGCAGGGCCTTACACTGTCTCAATAAGTATTCATTTGATTGACTGTGAATTACTTTTTTTTACTGGTTCAGCACATGCACACTTCATGCACAAAACCAGTCCTGTATGAAGGGTTGCTTAATGTTTAGTGTAATAGATCTTACCATGAAATGAATGCATTCAAAAAAACTGGAAGTACACGCATACGCTGTATTTCATCTTTTATCTATTGTACTGATAAAGAATGTATATAGAACTGCTATGTCAAATGGCCCAAAAAAAACTCCTTAAAAAGATATTTTAAGAAAGATAGGAATTAGCTGCTATATTTGTGAATAATATTACATTGTTAGTAGCAATAGCACCTCTGGGCGTCTGCTAAAGAGCAGCATGTTTTTCTGCATGTTGGAGATGCACGTGATTTTGTGCACATTCCCAACAAGCCATAATGTGAAACAAGCCTTAGACTGGGGTGGCTTAAGACTGAAAATACTTTTCAAGGGCGCCTTGACTGGAAAAAACACTGCTCTAGTGCATGCGTGATACTGCACGTCTGTTCCCTATTTCCTTTAGGGAATTTGATTTTTGAAAGTATCAGTATACTAGTTTGTCTTGTGACAGCAGTAGCTCAGAATATACCAAACTTGGCTTGTCACAGCCATGCTGGAGGGAGGATGAGAAAAGCTATTTCTTAAAGATGAAATCCGGGATAGGCAAAAATCACCCATTAGTACACCCCCCCTACACAAAACACTACACCGTTCATAACATTTTTAAAATCCTTACCGTTTAGGAGAAAAGTCTAATTGAATTTTCATGACCTTGTCCCTATAATTCAAAAGATAACAGCATCTGCTCTGCCAAGGAGGAAGTGTAACGGCAGGGATTACATCATTTCCTATCCTCTTTCTGCAGTAAAAGAAAACTACAGTTCTCATCACCCACAGGGAATTGAAGTGAATGTGGGCGAGTACACTAAGTCATGTTGAATGTGTCTGAGAGTCTGTCCGTCCACCACTGGAAGTGGGACTGAATTACATCCCTGCTTCCTGGAGAAAGAACTACAGAAGGGATGTGCCAAGATCAGTGGTTGGGGGAGGCATAGCAGCCACTGATCTTACAAACAGTAAACCAAAGAAAATTAATAGCTTGATTTGAAAATGCATAGGCTATTTCAAAGCAACTACTGAGTGAACCAGAAGATGGATGATATATTCAGTGAAGCTAGGGAATCAGCAACAAGAACATGCAAAGATGTTTTTGCCCGGAGTTCTGCTTTGCTGCCAATACATTAGTAGATTTTCGAAAAATTGTATGAATATTTGTACAAAAATTCTTGGTACATTCGATGGCTTGATGACTATCATTTGAAAATACTTCAAATTTTTGGAATGAATGGATATGACTGAATGAAAACCACATACACTATTAAAAATATGTTCTTTTGAGTAACATTTTTCAACCTGCTCCTTTGAATTTTTTTGTCAATGTGGTAGAAAAAAATGTGAATTTGGCCCCACTAATGACTAGAAACTCAACAAACATTCTTAAAATAAAAAATTTAGAAATAAGTTCTACTAGTGTAGTCAGCTTTGAGCTGACCATACACAGATTGAAATTGGGGAGGTTCAGCAGGGACTGGCCAAATTTCGATCCACTTATAGGCAGGCTGATTGTATACAAGGCAATCTTTCAATCAACTTGTGTACAACCAGCCTGTCGTGGTTTTTTTTTTGAACGATCAGTGCCGCTTGCTTTAGCTGTCAACACTGATCAGTGTGTTCTGACAGTAGGAAAGTCTTGCTGCTATCAGAATACAGTGCCACAGCAGGAGTGAGTCCCCCATCCACCTTGCATGAGTGGTTGGGGAAATTGGATAATTTTCTAATGAACAGTGTATGGGCGGTTTTAGTCCTGGACCTCAGAGAAGGCTTAATTTTGGGTGTAATTGATCTTTAAGTAGATCTTTCAATGGTGCATTATGTAGGTAACATTATATGTGGCAGTATATAGCTTACATTGTTTTTCGTTTCCTTCAAATTACTTGCTTGGAATAGATGGAGCTTTCACCGTCTTTACTAGGAATCAAAATAGACAGCCTATCTCTTGAAGTTTGTATACACCAACCTTTACTATCTTACAGGTTTATGCACATAGATTAACAGGGTTCATGCTGGACATAGATTAACAGGGTTTCAAGCACGTGGACTGTCAGGAATTATTATGTCCAGCAACGTTTTCTTGCATTTTCAGGTGCCTGGGGAGCGGCAAGTGCTGCATACAGCCTGCCATTCATGCCTGTACATGGTCATACTTTTGCAAATACTGATACTACTTTATATCAGCTTTACTCATTGATGTGTGTCTCATACATTGTCTGAATATGTAGGTTTCGCATTTGGGAAATTTGTTGAATGTGCATCCACTTTACTCGGCTGTACTCTTGTAAACACTGATGCTTCTTTGCATCAGTGTTTACAAGAGTACATCCACAGCACGTGTGGCTCCCCAGGTGTGGGAAAGTAACAGGAGATTTACGTTAGTAAGTGGGCATGAATCCTTCAACCGGATGTATTAAAGTATGCATTTTTGTTAATGAAATCACTTGCTAAATAGATTTCTCTCTTTTTACAGGGCATTGACGAATCAAGCAAAGACAAGTAAGTAACAATGCTATTTCAGCAAAATGTTTCCATGTGCACCTTTTTTTGTAGAGCCCACAATGTAGAAATGTTTTTCTGTCAGACCTTGGCCAAAGTTATGGAATGTCACTGACATTTTACAGTGTTTTGAGCATCTGTAGTCTACTGATGTACATTAATAATATTGTCTGATATGTAGGGCATTTTCGTAAGTATCCTCATGAACAGTTACCAGATTGCAGCAAACATAGTACATTATATAACTCAGTCAGTGTTTTCTAAGTTATTAGATGCTCCTTTCTGTTTTCTGGAAAAATTGAAGGCAGCATCTGCTTGGTTATTATGAGGAACACAGAGGGATCTTTTTCCAGATACTTCGTAGA